CGAAAATTTTTTTGCCCGGATCCTGCCCCCCCAGAAATAAATGTCTAGTGCCACCCCTGTTGTATTAACACGTTCAACGCCGATGACAACACGCTGTTGTCATGCGAATAGTTTATTTTAGTTTTCTTTTTCTCATCGGCTTTGTACATACACACATAATTTTTTATGGTCTTAATGGTGAACACTTCAGCTAAATTTTAATGTATTTGGATTTAAAATGATAATAAAATAGTAATAATTAATATTATTGTTATATATTTATAATAATTAATATTAAAACTACATTTTAATATACATTAATTAATTATTTTATACAGTACGAGTATTTAAAATTATTATTTTAAATATAAATGGACCTTCCACCTGGCCCATCGTATAAAGATGTAGGGAATGTAAAAAAAGTTTTGACTGATGAAGAGCTATTTTGGAAAACTCTGACGAAGATTTTGATCTTAGTTTAGAATCAGACCTGGGAGGAGATTCAGCCCGATGAAGATTGTGATCTTAAATGTAGTGCACAAAATAAAGTAGTCATGATAATGCAGTAGATCCAGTAATTAGAACTCGGCCAGTAGAAAGGCGATCCACAAATTATGCGTGGGTTGATGATCCACCACATGTAATCAAAGTTCCGTTTTCTCAAGTTGCCGATTTAAAAACGCGACCACAGAGAGATAAACCAATACATTATTTTAGTATGCTATTTACCAATGACCTGATCGAATTAATTGTGCAAGAAACAAATTTATACGCTGTAGAAATATTTTTAGCTTCTTCTGGAAGTGTATCAACAAGAATTTCTCAATGGAAAGATACTACTGTAGAAGAAATTAAAATATTTTTAGCGTTACGTTTTCATACCGGAAAAATAAGAACAAATCGTTTAGAAGACTACTGGAAAAAAAGTGAGTTGTTTGATTTAAAATTTTTTCGATCACATATGAGTAGAAATAGATTCATGCTAATTTTGAGAGCTCTACACTTTTCTCATTTTAAGTCTAGTAATCGATTAAATAAAATAGAAAATATTGAAAACTATTTCAATAAGAAAATGGAAGAAGTGTATGAACCAAGTAAAAATTTAGTGCTTGATGAATCGATGGTTCTATTTCGTGGCAGACTTGTCTTTCGACAATATATTAAAAATAAAACTTTAAAATTTTACATGCTAACAGAATCTATTGGTCTTGTGCACCGAGTAATGATATATTCAGGGCAAGGACATGATATGTCTTTGGATTGCTGTCACACCGAGTACGTGGTCGAAAAACTCATGGAAGGACTTTTTTATAGTGGCCGTTCACTTTATATGGATAATTATTATAACAGTATTAAATTAGCCCATAATCTTTTGAGTAAAGAAACTTATTGTACAGGGACTTTGAGACAAAATAGGAAAGATAATCCTAAGGACATAACTTCGATAAAATTAAAAGTAGGAGAGAGGAGTGTTGGTAAGTATACTGAAAAAGGTGTGTGTGTGTGGTTAAGTGGCGAGATTGACGTGAAGTATTAATGATTATTATAATAATTTGCCATGAGGTATCCATGTGTTAATCTGGAGTGCCCAATTCTGAGTCGATTTATAGTGATTTCTTCTTTTCGGTTAAATTCATGGTTTTCCCAACTGAATGTTGTTCTTTTTATCTGGTTTAGTTTTGTGTCTTGATCGTTCCAGAGTATATGCCATTTTTTTTTTTTATTTGTGTTTTGACTGCCTTTTTGGATATATTTAGTTTGGTTGTGTTTTTGTTAGATGCGGCAAGTTTAGCGTATTTGTCCGCTATTTCATTCCCTGCAATGCCGGTATGTCCGGGTTTATTTATATCTGCAGTTACACATAAATTAAGAGTATGTGCGAAACATCTAAAGTGTATTGGCAATATATTTTCTACATCTGTCTTGTGTACGTCATTTTGAAATTGATTACTTTCGTTAAATTCTAAATTAAACTCTGATAAGTTTAAGCTATTAATATATTATTAAATAAATTTTCCTCTTCGAAAAAAATTATATTTGTTTTATTGACTCCAAAAGTTTTGAATGCTTTTACAAAATTACTGTCATTATCACTAACTGTTGCGATAATTTTAGTAGGATTCAAGCTGAATTCCAAATGTATTTCATTAATTAGATCAGAAATTTTAACGCAATTATGACTTCCTTTCAAACGACGACATGCTAAAGCCGTTGATATCCGATTTAAATTAGTCGACGAAATCCAGTGACACGTTACTCCTAGAAAACTTCTTTTTTCCAGACTAAAAATATACAGTAGTACAAATAAATTATACATTTTTTAAGTTTTCTTTTATTTCAATTTGGTTTTTTTAATAATAAGTATCAATTTTTCGACAAAGAGATCGCCGGCTTAAAATATGAAGTTCAGAATTGGATATATTTAAAGTATTAAAAATGTTTTTAAAATATGGGTAATCTATACATCTCAAAGGTATCATTGAATGTAAAAAAAAAAATTCATAATTTCACTTTCGAAGTTTTTTTGTGTTGTTTTACTTTTAATTGCTTAACAGAAGTTTAAACTTTCTTATTTGGTGGTCCAATTGATCTCAAATGATTTTTATATTCTTCTGCTGCATCAGGGCCATGGTGACATTTTAAATGTGTAACAAAATTAGAAGAAGAACTTCCATAAACATTTTACGCATTGAACCACCGTTTTACTTTCAGATGTGCATGATTTTTCAGGTAAAAATTTAAAAAAATTACCATCAATTGGTCGAATTGGTAGTGGAGAATCTGGATATGATGAATTTCTATTGTTTTCTGGTACAGAAGTTCCTCATTGTCACTCATTGTAATCTGATAAGTAGAACGTAAGTTTATCAAATACGAAGCAGAATAAAACGAAAAACAACGAAATGCAACCAGTAATGTATCAAACCAACTAAATATAAACGTACTTACAATATTTACAAATACAAAAGTTAACAAAAATGAACTAATAAATTTATCAAGAGAAAAAATTGGTGGACTAATATTACATATGCCTCTGATTATTGTAATTATATCAGAAGCTAAATGAATATGTGCCCAAAGAAATGTTAGTTGAAATATTTTAAAAATTTTCAATCTTTGATCTACTCGTTTAATATGGACCATAGTTTTGGCAACATTTTTCGATAATAGAGCTTCTTCTTTACTGAACTGCTTTTGTTTCCTTAAAAAAGGAGGTCGGACTATGGATATATCTTTTTTTTTGCAAATATCGTCAATAAGAAACCATTATAGCAACAGGTGGTTTCATTTTTTCAATTAGATTACTCTGTATGAATATAGGTTTATCTGAAGATCTGCCTCCATAAGGTTTACTAATATAAGTTATTAGGCCACCTGGAAAAATCCCAACTAAGAACGTTAATTTAAAGGTAGATTTGTAATTACTATAACATTTAATGCGGCATGTTAAACATTTAGGTCTTTGTAAAGAAATTTCAGTACAATCTAGCACAACTCTTACATTATTAAAATTGTCAAAGCAAAATGGAGTATTTGATGAAATTTCTTGCTTAGAAAGCCAATATATTAAAGACTGAAATACGAAGGCAAGTTGGGGGATTATTAAACTATTATTATATTATATTAACTAAGTAGAACGACAATTTTCAGATGTTAAATCATTAAATAATATACTTAAAAAGGCAAGACAGACCTTGTTTTAATTTTAAGAATACCGTGATAATACGTTCTTTTAAATTAAGTCTGTGTGTTCTTTGATCAAGAAAATATTTTTTATGTAAGTCTACTATTTCATCTAACACGTCAAAAGAATAAATTCCTGTTATTGTTATTAATTTTTTTTTAGTATCAATTAAAGAAATCAATGGTGTTATGGTCACCACTTGATACTTGTGTTCCGTTGTTTTGGATAATTTTAAGTTCATTGAAAATATCATTGACAATTATCATTGGTTTCATTGAATTTCAAACTATCATTATCAAAGTGATCTGGTACCAAATTCTCATTATGACATTAGAAATCAATTCAGAAAGTATGTAAAATACAAGTAGATATAAAAATACAATAATTTCTTACTTTACATAACTCTACTTTATCATTAACTTTTTTTTTCGATATGTTCTCTTTTTTGGTGATGACGGGAGCACCGAAGATTTAAGTAAATTTAGAGATGGAATAGCAATAGTCTTAAGACGTGAACGTTGTCCTTTTAATCCTAAATAATATATTAATATTATATATTACAATTTATTACACTAGAACTTGAATCGAATATTAAAGAGTGTTAGATAGATACATAACAAGTAATAACTTACCTTGTGGAAAGTAATCACTTTGAGTAATATGTTTTAAACACACTTGTAAATGTTTTTTTGCTAATGCAATCTTAGATAGTTTTAACTTGATAGCCCAAAACCTACGACCAATTCTTCAATACCAAAACTATTTTTCAATAATATTTTTGGATCTTTTGGATTTGGCAATCGGTGGAAACTTATACTATCATCAGATGAATAAAAAGTTGTGCAACCATACACACAGCAATAGTTATTACTTTTTTTTTGAACTGCCATTTCTGTAAATATATAAGATAAAACAATAATAACATATGTAGATATATGGACTATTGACTAATACTATAGAAATTTAAACGTCCTGTGTACTACATACCAATGTGATTTAAAATATTGCACTCGAAAAACTTGAAACGATTTACAAAATAAAAATGAATAACACTGAAAAATAAAATGTTTTATAATTCAGAACGAATTAAACAAAATTATAAGTCAAAAGATGTTTTAGTAAATGTCAAACACAAACGAGAAATCACAGTGCCATATCAGTATGCACTCCATTATCTATCCCGAATCGGCAAGTTAAGATACTCTCCACCAGAATGCGTATTGTTAATCTGTGACGCCAATAGAAAAATATAATTTTTATCATTGCTTGACATACAGTGTTCGACTTGAGGCGGTAGAGGGGGAATGGAGTACTCAAACTAATTTTCAGAAATTTTAGCATCCTCCTACTATAATTATGTTATATTTATAATGCTTAAAAAGTTTTGGGCACGTTCTTTTTTTCAAGTAGTCTTTAATTTTCTTGTAAATTCCCTTCTATAATTTTTCCAAGTCGAGCACCTTTGACATATAATATTATATAATAATATTAGAATTTTTTTATCGTTTTGTTTTGTGACATTTGGGGGAAAATGGCTCTCATTCTCCCCTTATATTCACCTCTAATTTTCATATCAAACACATTAAAGCGTATACTCACTAAAAAAATACGACTGCGTGAAACTGAAGTTTGAAATTGCGTGACATTATAGGCAACCTGTTTGACAGGCAGTCCTATTTGTATTAAAAAAAAATAAATAAAAGTTGTTCACTCTCTCCAAAATATAATCACAATTAATTTCTGCATTGCTTCAGCGTTGCCGATTTTGGAACAAAATCGTCGATATTCAAATTATCGGTTGTCTTTTTCATAACTCAACATAAACAATGCGTTTATGTAAGGGAAACGATACAATGGGATATTCAAAATAATATGTGCAAATTCCAACAGTATTTGGGACTGATTTAAATTTTAAAGTACAAATATAGCAAAAGAATACGTGTTATGTGTATAGCACGGTACACAAGCTTGACAAGCTTGAGATTAAATCATATAAAAACTTGAATGATTATTGACAACTATTCGTATTAAAATTATTATTAATAAATGCATTTTTTAAAAAGTATTAAAGTTCAAATTTTCATAATTGTAAAAAATGCCGAGAACACGTTGAATAATATTTATTTGAAGAAACACGTTCAAGTTTACAAAAATATATTTTATTAAACAAATTTAATTATATTTTATTCTTCTGTGTACGTTTGATTATTATGATACGTTAGCTACGAGTACAATTGTATCAGTTTGAGTTGATTTTCTATAAATATTTTTTATTTACAGGAAATAATTTACATAATTTTATTATTTACAGAAAACCAATCCAAACTAATAAAATACTTATCATACTATTAGTTATAATGCAAAGTCGTCATCAGCTATTAAAGATTTGTTATTTATTACACAAAATAATAAATACATCCTACATCGAAAACCGTTGGATTGATCGATTTGTCAAACAGTCTCCATTTAGTTCGTTCCTCGCGATCTTTATAATCTCCTCACGTTGATTGCTCGCCTGTTTAAGAGCTTCTATTTCGTTTTTGATTGCTATCAGCCTTTGGTTATTGAGGGTTTTCTGGTCTTCGATCATTTTGGTTTCCACATCGATCTTTGCCTGCTGCACTGCCTGCTGCAAGCGATACTGATTCACCCGTTTTTTCAACACCTCCCTCTCGGTTTTTAATTCGTCCAATTGATTGGTTTTTGTTCTAACACAAGCCAATAGTTGCTTGCTGTCACACCTTGCAACTGATAAACTGTTGGACGTTTCCGATAATTGAGCGGTCAACCGGTCACTCTCTCTGCAGAGATCATTGAGCACTGATTTTGCTTCCAACTTCTCCTCGCAGATGGTCGTCTCCAATTTTCGATACTCGTCTTCCGCGTTATCGCACTTGGCTTTCCAATCTGCTGCCGTTGTGCAAGCATCGGTTAGTTCCACCTTATTTGTCTCCAAGGATTGATTGGCTGCAGCCAACTTTACCGGACCTTTTTCTTTGAGCGCCAACAATTTAGCTTCCAGTTCCTGGTATTCGGACGTTAAATCCTTGATTGTTTTCTCGTGTTCAGCATTCTGCCGTTGTAACTCTTGCAATTTTACGTTTTCGCAACAAATAGTTTTTTCCACATCGGTCAATTTGCATCGTGATATTTCCATTTCAATAGTTTTGCAAGGAATTACGTTTTCCAAATCACACAGTTGTTTTTTCAGTAAATCGCCACATGACTGTTAAAAATAATAATTTTAACACTAGTGTAAATAATGTAAGACATTTAAGATCTATCCAATTAATTACTAAACAATGATTACTCTAAACTATAAAGTACTATAAGAAAATCTGAAAACAATGAATAATTTTTCATTTTTACAGTGTTACAGACATACATAAATGTAGGTCCTTACGACTACTAATACATAGGGGTCCACATAAATAACAGTAGAGCTTATATTATAATATACATTATTACATACGTAAATAAAAATTACACTATATGTGAAAACAACATGATATCCAAATCTTAAAGAGAAGTCCCATACAAATAACTGGCATTGTTTGCAATGACCGTAATAATATCAAAAACATGCCCTTATAAGGCATTATAAAATTGGATATTAGATACTTTTCGAAGGGGGTCAATAATATTAATATCATTACAAACTATGGCCAGGTCAAATATCCCATAAGAACGGGGTATATAAAGTAGTCCTTAACACATCATTATTAAGATGTGTTTTAGTCCTGTCCGAGAGAGACACTAGTTAACTTAAAACATATTAACTAATAAGTATTTAACTTGAATTTATTTTTTTTACACAATTACGTAAACTTAAATAAATATTATATCAGTTGTAAATTTATGAAAGTTGACTATTTATTTGACAATCTTAACGGTTGAACTGACGGCACGTAACAACAGACACGATTTTTTTTGATCTTACACTTAAATTAGTTGAAACTATTTAACTTGATAAAACTTTAAAATGTTAAATGATGGTCAATACTTTTTTAATTTCTCACTCTTAAATTATTCAGTATGAATTATTAAAGTATGAAATGAAACTGAATGTATTAAATTACATAGTTGAATATATTTAACTAATATTAAAAGTACACAAATATAAAGTCAAAATCATTTTCAACAAAAATGTGTTTTAAGAATCTAGATAGATACTTACTATAAGTTATTTTATACATACATATAAATGTGTTTTATAAAATATTATTGATATTCAAGTTTGTAGAGAAAAATATTTATAAAATATTGAAATTTTTACTTGTTCCTTCTGAGTTTTATCTTGAAGAATGTCATTGCATTCTTTATTTTTTTTTAAGAAAAATCTTAATTCATCGATTTCTTTGACCATTTGTAACTCTTTCTGATTTTTAGAATGTTTAGTGCTTCGCATAACACAGTTATCCTTTTGTATTTCTGATATATTATTTTCTATTTGATTATAATCTAATACTAATTTGTCATAATCTTGAGTAAGACTACAATAACATTGTTTGTGACTTTTCTTTATTTCGTCAATGGTCTCTTGAAGATTTTCTAACTGGATTTTTAACTCTAATACCTCTGCTTCTAATGAATCATTACTAGCTTCACACATTCCATCCAGTGTATGATTCCTACCTGCTGTTAAGCTTACATCTGGTATTTCAATACCTGAACATCCACATTGATTTGAGTTACCATACATACAATTTTGATTTGAAATTTGAGAATTCATTTATAATAATAATGCCTCACTAAATTTCCAGACTCTTGAAATAAACAAACAAAAAATAAAACAACTATAGAAGTTAAAACATTTTTACTTACCAAATCGTATAATATAATATTAAAATTTAAGTTCTTTATTAAGTATTTTAAAAAAAATTAGATGTTAAAAATGTTTTTCGAATTAAAAATATCATTGTATTTGTTTATTTTTTAATTTATATACTATTTTATTGCGTAGTTACTAAGAAACTAAATGTTTTAATGTTTCATGTATAAGTGGTTACCATGATCCATAATGAATCATCCAAAAGTAATAATTTATTTTACCTCAAATCAGAATGTAGTTAAGTGAAAATTTGAATAAGAAATTGTATAATATATTTACTGTAGATTTTTTTCTTCAACTCGTTTTAAGTAATTTAAAAACGGAAACTTAAATTGAGGAATTATTTATAATTACTATGATGGGCTGTAATCAGTATGGTTCAGAAATGTAGAAAAAAATAAAATAGTAGTTAAAACTACGTTTTTAAGGTTACCACACATGTGTAGCGAGCCTCGACTTGATAGGGTTGAGCTCGTACGATTATTTAATGACGGAGACCTCGTTGTTGATTGATAGATGGAAAACGTCAGAGGTTGAGACAAAATACACGAACGTTAAATGTACGTAAGACTTTATTAAATGAATTTAAACAAGTACAGTGAAAACTAACTAAGTACTAAGGTAATCTACGGTTCAGCCGCAAGGAGTGAAACATAGACTACGAGTTGAGGCGAAGACTCAAGTTAGTTCTGTCCTAGTATACAAACGTATCCGTATATATACTAGTGTTACTCCTACGTTTACGTACTTCTGTAAGGTCGACAATAAGGAAAACGGAAATACCATAAGGAAACAGGAAAAGAGATTCATGGGTGCCGAGGTCTCCATGGCCTCGGTTAGTCTATAAGGTATTACCTTCGACGTGCTCGCACTACCCAAAGGTTTTGTAACCCGGATAGAATTACTATGCTTACAGTCGACGTGCTTGTAATACCTATGGGATTACTACACTCCTCCCCCATCAGAACGAAGCCCTTGGGTTTCGTAGTATTGTAAATCTAAAGTTGGGTAGTATCCCCTTTGTATTGGTTCCTCTGTTTCCAATGGGTGTTCTTCACCTGGACCTTCCTCTCTGGATGCAGTTTGTCTTAATGGAATGGACTGATGGCGTATTTGTCTTGTCTGTGCCTCGATTCTTTTTGTGATTAACTGGTTACTATATTTTATGGCCAGTACGACAAGACCCATAACAAGGATAGTGCCTATAGCTAATAGGAAGTAGTGACCATGCTGTTGTCCTTGCTCTAATTGCCTGATTTTATTTCCGCTCTCCAGCTGCTCGGGAGTTTTGGCTACCTGTACTAGATCACCCATCTTGCCTTCGACAACATGCTTGGTCCTCATAATATCCCCGGTAACTGTTAGTGACAACCGCTTGTCTAAATCAGGTATGACTGATCCTGGGATAAAATCTTGGTATTCTTCCTGGTTGTGTACACGTCCCGGAATTAGTATATCTCGAGTTGCATACGCCTTACATGTTTCGTTTAATAATATCTTTCCAACCCCCTTGATCGTGTGGCTGGTCGATTGTTTGTCTTCATCACATGTAACAAACAGTGTTTCGCTTTCTGTGGTGTATAACTACTCATTCTTAAATTTAAGTTTGTGAAACACTGATGTAGCGATTCATACGTGCATTAGGCTGCAATCTTCAGGTACTTCCTTTGGATCTTGTAAGAGTAAAATCTCACAAATTAGTTTTCCACTCCTTGGATGTAAAGGATGGATTTCAGGACAAAGTAGGAAGTCACGTGAACATTTACAATTTGTTTGTTCAAAATTATCATAAGTGGAGTAAAGATCTTTGGATCGGCTTACGGCCAAAAACTTATAACTAGGTTTAATAAAAATACAATTATTGCTTTCGCATACTGGCTTAGGTATTAAATGAAACAGAGTTAATGTATGTTGGTAAACTAATGGTATGCTTATCTTAAAAACTAAACGGTCATTGTCATAATATACAGCCAGTTCCGAGAATTTAAGTAATTCGTAGGAATCCCCTAGATCTAATTCTATGGGTAGATCTGTCCCACTTGGACGTTCTAACTTTATGTCTTTAAATTGTTCGAGGAGTTCAGAAGGGCTAAGCAGGCTTGGATGTATTTGTCCTGTTTTCGCAGCTTGCACTATTTCCCCTATGGTATCCATTTTCATGGAATATTGTGCAAGAAGTATATTTATAAAAATAAAATTATTTACAATTTGAAACCCCTTTAAAGCTTCCTCTGCTGCAATTCTAATTCGTTCTAGAGTAACCGCATGTTCTTCTAATATGAGTGCTTCCTTCCTTTGAGTCAGATCTACTATTTTAAATTGTTTTTCCTCGTTATTTAAATGATCTGTTTTATTTAATTGCTTTAATCGTCTTAGTCTAGTCTCGTCCGCCTCGGACGTGACAACACGCACGTTGTCCTGATATGGCTCCCACTGAATATTAAGTGTTGTCAATTCGTCAATGACGTAAGGTTGCTCGGATATATTCACAATGCTTCCTACAATTTTGTTACCTTACACCGGGCTTATGCTGTTCGCAATTATTACATCGTCATTTAGTTCCTGTCTGGCAATGGTTACCGAATTCTCCTGAATTTGATCCGTGTTTTGTATCATTAACACGCAATTACTGCGTGGAGGAATAATAATTTCGTGAGGCTTATTGTCTTCGGGTATCGATAAAATATCCTCTTCAAAATTCCAATGTACCCGATTCTCTTTTAAAAATGATCGCCCTATTATTTCAGCTTCCGGAATATCAAAATCGTCGTTTACAATGTCGAATTTTATGACTCGTGTGGCCCCCTGAATACTAATAGAAACTCGCGCTGTGCCAAACGTGCTAATAGGTATTTTATTTATTCCTTTTATGTTTCGCTTGTCACTTTCGTTAATGATAACTCGCCCGTCCAATGCTGATATTTTAATTATATTCTTTTGTGCTCCTGTGTCTACTAAAAATTTGAGTTTTCTCGTTCGGAAGCTTTTTGATTCACATGTAATGTGCTCTTCTTTTACCTCTGCTATCATTCGAACGTTATTCGGGTTAACCTCATCTACCGTCCTACCTTCAGTATGATTATCGGACAGTCGTTTTTTATTTTCATTGAACATCCTTTTCCTACAATATTTTATAACGTGGTTCTCATTTTTACAGTAATGGCATATTTTAACCTGCCCGCCTGATGGATCATTTCTATTCCAATTCGAATTGCTCGGATTCCTAAAACTTGTTGTTCTGGGTTCGGTATTTCTACATTCATTCGCGTAATGTCCCATTTTCCCACAACGATGGCATTTAATACGCTCCTTGCTTGACGTTTGCTTCTCATTTGTCCCTTTAAAACCCCCTTTCCACTTAGGGTTATCAAATCTAACTTTTCTGAAATTCTCTTCTTGTTCAGTTGCGATTACAATTGCCTGTTCGAGAGTGGTGACATTCCGTGCCTGTAGAATAATATTGATAGCTTCGGGTACCCCAGTCATAAAAATATTTAACGCATTTCCCTGAATATTTCGTGCTGTTATTCGCGCTTCCTCTGCCGGTTTTCCTCTTGTCTCTGCATGTGTTAACTCTTGGTATGCTTTTTCTATTCTCCCTGCAAAATCCCTGGCACTTTCATTGTTTAGCTGCCTAAGGTTATTTAATCGTTTCTGTAAATATAATACTGAGTGTGTTGTACCAAACCTGATCCTAAGATAGGCTTTCAACTCTTCCCACGTTCTAATATCTTTGTATCTTATCGCTTCATATGCCTCGTCATCTAACTGGGTAATAATAGCCCTAAGTATCGTTGGTTTTAGAATGTCTTCTACATTTTCAAAGACGAATTCACACTTTATTTCAAAATGAACTCTTTTTATCGATATGCGAACAATTTTTCTAAAACGCAACTCGTTTGGACCAGCATTTTGCTTCCCATTTTATTTTTAACAGGCTTAGAACTGTCTTTGACATGGTTAAAAATGCTGTTTCTTATTTTTATTATTATTATTATTGTTTTTTTTTTATAATAATATCAAATATGTATGATTACTTCTTTTTAAAGATAAAAATATTAAAAAATAAGTAGTACATTAGGTACAATATAAAATTTGTCAAATTATTGATTTTTTAAATTCGAGCTGCTTGAAATATTTGTCGAATAATCTTCAAAATACGTCAATTGAGATATCTCACCATTTTTATATTGTGCCCATCGTGCATGTAGTATGTTGTGTTTTTTAAGTGTCTCATTTATTTGAACATTAATTTTATTATATGAAATTGATGATATTTACAGCATAGTTTGAACTTGAAAATCTTTAAGAATGTCAATTACTTAGAAAATGTTTGGATGTGGTGAATACAATTGTGAATTATAATGAGAGTGAAACGATTCAGGACCATTTGTTGTACGTGATGAATCGGAAGGTTCTGCTGCCCAAAAAGAAGGTTAAAGTCTTTATCTTCTGATACGTAATAATTTAAAATATAGTCAGCAAAGTGAGAAACGTGTTCGACATCGGGAACAATTGGTATCAATTGAGCATACCCATCTCCAACTTCAGATGATGGTAAATAACCTATAAAAATATCTTAACCAATTTCCAACTTTTGATTTTTATTCTTTGTATTTACTATGTAAATAATAATGTTTTTGAATTTTGCGATAAAAATTTTGGATTAAATGAAAAAAGCAGCACTCAATGTTATAATTAGGAAATGTATTTAAAACAGCACAATGGGCAGGTTTTTCGAAATCTGCATGGATATTTTTTATAGCTAGTTCTTTGCCAGTTAAATGTTTAAATAATAATTTTATTTCATTCCACATATATTGGTACATGTCTAAGTTTTTGAATTGAAGTAAACAATAAATTACAGGAATGTAAAATGTATTTACATACACGTGAATTGTTTTGTATACAGTTGAAGAAAGAATTTAGGTGCATAATGAAATGTACCATCTCCAAAAACATGTGTGTTATCACACAACATATGTAGATTTACTTTGCAGGTAAATAAAATAAAATTTTTATTCGAAGAAATATGACAACATTTTTCGTCGTTAAAATTTGTAATATTGTTTCCTTCTGCCGAAAGTATATCAATTGTATCTTCTAATGTTTGTGGTAACGTCGGAAATAATTTTTTATGGGTACAATATAATAATTTACGCACTTATCTTAAACTAGAATATTCAATATCTGTATCAAATCCACTTTGACGTATTTTTATTAAAATAATTTTATTTGGTTTGGTATGCAGGTATTCTATCCCCTTTCTTTTTACAGCTGTTCTAATGATGTCCAATTTGATTGAATTATCTTTTAGAGGAGGTCGAGTGTGGGGACAATTTTTGATTTCAATAATTGATTCAATAATTTTAAACTCCGTAAATATAATATTTTAATGAGTAGTAATATTCGTTTTCGGTGTACAAATCGTTCGTGCAACGTGATTATTATCGTTAATGATAAGCTAAATGAAATAATAATTATTTACGATAAAAATGTTTATACATTGATGATTTGACAAATAAAATAATTACAATTTTACTTTTTTAATAAATATTTAATACTTATACTTATATTATTTTAATTTTTTGCAGTTTTCGCTTTGCTGCTGATATTACCTACAATATTCACCTGTCTTCAACATTTTGATTACTAAACGGTTTTTTTAAGTACCAACATTAATACCATTAATATCATTAAACCTTTATACAATATCTTGCTACTTATTTTTGCCTACATATTTTTTCCTTACAGTATGTAAGCAGTGGTCAAAAGATTATTGTCATCAATATGTTCAAAGAAATTACATTGAAGTCTTCGGATATGAAGTATGATGATATGATTACTAAAATATCACAAACCACGGGTATAGGTAGTCAAACAATCATTAGAATCTTATCGGAGTATAAAAGGAAGAAAACTGTCAGTTCTCCCAACAAAAATCAAGCAAAAAAATCTCTTTTCGACAAAATTGACGATTTAGATCGCAATGGATTAAGGCAAAAGGTACATGGTATTTGGTTGCGTCGTGAACTACCGACGATCGATAAGATATTACACGAGGTGAACGAAGATCCATCGCTTCCAAACTTCAAACGTACCACCTTGTATAATATCATAAAAAAATTGGACTTCGTATTCGCCAAACGAAAAAGGTGCAGTGTGTTGACAGAGCGGGAAGACTTGATTAATTGGCGCCGCAATTACTTATACGACATACGCAAATATTGCGAGGAAGGTCGAACCATATATTACTTGGACGAAACATGGTTGAATGCCGGTGATTGTGTGGACCGCGTGTGGATGGACAAAACGGTAAATTCAAAACACGATGCGTTCAACAAAGGTCTTACAACTGGTCCATCCAACCTAATCGGTAAGGGAAAACGCCTTATTATACTACATATTGGTTCGGACAAAGGATTTTTACCAGGCGGTCTATTATGTTTCGAGTCGAAGAAAAATAGCGTCGATTACCACGACGAAATGAATGGTGATAATTTTAAAGAGTGGTTTGAATCTATTCTTCCTCGACTCGATCCCAATTCTATTGTGGTTATGGATAACGCACCTTATCATTCCGTCCAAGCCGAAAAATATCCATCTGCCAGTTGGAATAAAGCCGAAATATTGGAGTGGCTTAATTCCAAAGGTGTCGTTTTTGACCGCCCAATGTTGAAGGCACAACTCTTGGTTAAAGCACGTGAGTTAAAACCACGTCATAAGTCGTATATTATCGACAATTTGGCAAAAGACACAAGACACACCGTCCTCCGATTACCCTCGTACCATTGCGAATTCAATCCAATTGAATTAGCATGGGCAATGGTAAAAGGGTACGTGAAGCGGTTGAATAACACATTTAAGATTGACGACGTTCGCCAACTTCTTTATACGGCTATAGAACGGGTAACGGTAGAAAATTGGCGAAATTTTATTAAACACGTTATTGAGGAGGAAAATAAAATTTGGAAAGTTGATGACATCATGGAAGAATTGATTGAAGGAATGGAACCATGCGTGCTGACAATAACTGGAGAAACTTCTGATGATGAATCTTCTTAATTCTATTTTATTTATTATATTGTAAATATTTGTAAATACGAATTGTATTTTTAAATTTTACGTAAAATTGTATTATTGTTTTTTTAATTATTATATTGTAAGTATTTTAAAATACGAATTGTATTTTTATATTTTACGTACGTCATACATAAAACACCAGATAACCCCTCATAAAATAATTTACATTGCAAACATGGTTTCATTTTACATAAAAAGAAACATAAATAAAGCAAAAAAAGAAACTGATTTGTATAGCTAAATGCGATACGCAACATATGTGATCAAAGTAGTGTTCAACAGTGTATTTTAAGTTATTGTTTCACAATGCTGGTCGACAATAGACTAATGCGACGCTGTTAGATAGCCAGCGTGTTTGAGGCAGGGTGAAGCATTTTATGTGGCTTTAATTTTTCTTTTTTTGAAAATCTTTTAATTCATACATGCGTTTAGGGCTATTATTGATATAATTATAAGAATTCCTAGTAAAATCTTCAACATAAGTAGGTACTTTCGACGTCCATCGAAGCACAAACGGCTACATTCAACAAGAAAACCCACGTGACCTATGCGACGGGATGGCGTTGTGCGATGGTGCAGTCAACATTCACGTCATTCGACAGTAGTAGTATAAAAAACCCCCGCGCGCCACCCGGCTCCAGTCGTCTGACCGATCACATAACCTATGTATATTCCCCCCGTCCCCTCATCACCCGATCGATCACTTGATCTACGTGTATTTCCCCCTTCCTGTCACCAGGTCGATCATATAACCTATGTATATCTCCCCCTATATGATACCATCTTCTCCGTGTGCTGCTGTGAAAACCTACCGTAATCTTTCCTGACCACACGCCTTATCTACATCAACTTGACCCCCTCTCCCCACCCGATATCAAACCTTCCAATCCATGCCGCGCCTGGAATGTATGACCATCCACGATATCTACGTCTTATCAATATTATCAAACTTAATATTTTTATCATTCTTTTTAAATGTTATTAAAATATATATTAAACATATACTAGCTTCTGTGTGCCTCGCTTCGGGTGAAATTCGCTTAATATTTATATATTAATCAATTTAATTAATAATATGAATTATTAATATTAATAATATTCAAAACATTATTATGTAGGTATAATGTATCATGCAATACTACCACGGTTACTGCTTGTGATAATTATTAACTTTTGATAATATACGGGTGGAAAATTGATACGCCTTCGGCGTCAAAGGCGTTCGCTATCTAGGAGACCCCCACCTAATTGTTTTCTTAAAAATACTACGGCACCATACTTACGGTACTATAGTGACAATCGATGCATGGTGTCAAACGTATAAAAACCAATATAATAAATATACAAAACATTTATATGTACATAAAAAAAATGAAATAGCAGAGGGCAAATCGCAGTGCAATTGAAAATAATCAAACATAATAATAGTACTGTTGCAAAGTTAAGTGTCTTCTCAACAATAGTTAAATATGTAAATTATCACTATATTTAATAGAATGGAATAGAATTTAAAAAGTGGTATAAATATGCATATAAATCATGATATTTCAATTACAGAATAAAATATACATTTATGATTACAAAAGCATTATATGTATCATCTTCCATAACTTAACTTACCGAAGGGACACTTTTATGAAAAGTATCTTAGATACAACAATTTATAAGTATCATAAACGCTAGAGAACTTGACATTTTTTTTAGACATGAAATTATCAAAGTAAAAAAACTTTCAAATACAGTACAGTCGGTTCAAAGTAAGAAGACCTAATGCATAAAAAGTATTTTTTCAATAATAAATAATGAATATATATACAAAGCGAGTCTTTAGACAAAAAACTATAAAAATGGAGTAAGACCTTCCTTGATGTTAACTGAAAAAAAAAAATTTGAGCGATAAGTGAATACTCTATAATAGGTGTGTATACATAAATGTTGGCGTTAGTTACGTTTTACACTATAATCATTCTCAGTGAAAAACGCATCCAAGAAAGACCACGTGGAGGTCGCCAACCCCTTTCTCACATTCATAGAACATAAAAGTACTCATCGACAATATTTAACAAAAAATATACAGAATGAATTTATAAAAACATAAATAATTTATGAAAGACAGAGCGTGGAAGTTTCTTGTAATCATAGCATATTTGTGCTTTTAAGCTTAAAAAATATGTGAAGATAATGTATACAAATATGAAACATAACATAATCAAAGAAAATATTTTTATCATTATATAAAGTCATATCAGTATGATACGGTTTAAATAAATAAACTATACCAAGATTTTTCTTATAATATTAGGAGAAAAGTGTAATAATAACCAAGCTCTTGGGTACAACAGTACTACACTGGTGTTTGAGCATTCGTTAATTCATTAATCTGCAACCCACTATGAGCAAAATAAACAATATGTAGTTTAAGATATTTTACAAAGACATTTATATCATAGAGGAACTTGAGCGTTAAATATTGTATAAATACATACCAAGTTTTCTTTATTTTATAGCTGGGTTTGATTTGAATATTATCATTAGCACCAATAACACGTTGAATTCTATTCCATTCCAAAGAATAAAGTGCAACGAAAACATTCAACAGCTCTCTCCCTATATTATTTGGAAAAATTAATCAAATTGAATGAATTTAACATAATTTAAAGACACAAATGAGTCATAGTCGAACGAAGGGCAACAGTACTACACTCATGTTCGAGCACTTGTTAATTAATTACTCTGCGAAACACTATGAGCCAAGTAAACAATACAGTTCAAGATATTTAAAAAAAAACACTTGTATCATAATGGAATAAGAGTGTTAAAAATTGTAATCTGTACCACGATTTCTTTATTTTATAGCTGGGTTTGATTTGAATAGTATCAATAGAACCATTGACACACATCTATCGCACTAACACTATCTCCCTATATTATTTTAAAAAATAAATCAAATTTAATGAATTTAACATATTTAAAAAACAAATTTATAATTATTTAACATAATTAAAAGATACAATTAAAACATAGTCAAACGATAGACTTAATTAACAAATGTGAACAAAAGAATTATAAAAAGTGTTGCATATAATTCGATTTTTAAATTTTACAACTGTTTGTGATAATAGAAATATCAGTAAAGTCAATCAAATTCCTTCTCAATGAAAACATCCCATAGCTCTCCCCTAATATTTTATGGTAAATCAAAAAAAAAAAAAAAAAAAATGAATGTAATTAATAAGTTTTAAAAACACATTCAAAGCATATATTGTACAAAGAAAATAATTTACATTAAGGCTAAAACATACTGGGTTTACTATTATCCTTATAATATCACATAAGTTTTAATTTATATTCATTTCCTTTCATCCAAGTGTAAAAACTGATACTGTAAGATTTATTTATACAAACCGAAAATATAACATTCAACATATATAATTGAAAGAATGAGTTGAAAAATGCATGGCATACCATGTTTTCTTTAGTTTATAGTTGTGTTTGTTTTTATTAGTTAATCATTAGTACCGAAGTAGTAACTGCATTATTCCTTAACAAAGAAAATGTTTAATGAAAACATACAACAGACATCTCCCTATATAATGTGGAAATATAAATCAAATCGCATGTATTTAAAACAAATATATAATAATATAACATGATTTAAAGACGCAATATCAATGAAAACATCCAATAGATATCTTCTAATATTTTTTAGTAAAACATATAAAAATAAATGTGTAATTAATAAATATATTAAAAACACATTTAAAGCATATAGTACGTAGGAGGTAAAAATCACAATTGATTCACAGTCGAACGATGGACTTAATAAACATATGCGTCAACAATAGAATTATAAAAAGTATTGCATATAATTTGATTTTTAATTTTTATAACTGTTTGAAGTAATAAAAAAATGATTTACAAAAAAATACTATAAGACTCATTTACTAAAACAAATATATTATTTTAAAATATAATACATACCATGTTTACTTCATTATTTTATAGCTGTGTGTGCATTTTATAATATCATTACAGCATTTCACATCAAATCAATCTGGTAAACAAAATATATTTTATATATTGTATTAATATGTAATATAATATATTACATACATTGCAGGTGTATGTAATGTCGCGTACTGCGTAGTCACATAATATAAAACACACGTTATAAGAGGTCCTCATGAACATCGAAACTGGGCGTGTGAATAAGTTAAATTGTTCACATGGTTATCTGTTTAAATAAGAATATGAATATCGGAGTCACATATACGTGGGTGGTTGACCACATCCTGGATCTTGTAATAAGTATGGGCTGGTCAAGAGATAGTACACGCATGCAGAATCAATAGAGAATTATCATATTTTAGAACGCACACACCGAATCAATAACGACTCATCACATTTATCATATTTTATTATCTTATTTCATTTACACACACACACTTGGGATTTTACACACACACATACAATATCACATATAAAAGGGACCCGAAAACAAGGGCAAATCAGACGAGTCTTGTCTATGCTGCACTGAGCACCTTCACGTCAGTGTATGTTATGGTCTGGACTTAGAAATATTTCCAATTATTTTATAAGTACAATTGTTAGGACTTAAATAATTTCTATCACTAGAATATTTACAAAATTTGTAGTTAGAATAATTTTTATAAGTTAAATAAATTTAATTATTTCAAAAAGAAGTCTTAATTATTCCTGACTACACTTCCACACAAGCGTTGACTGAGACGTTGTAACTGAGTTAACGGATCAAACGGTTGGCACGTAACAAAAATTGGCGCAGTCAGTAGGATATTCAATAGAAGGCAATTCCACATCGGAACCATCGAGGAGCTGAACAACTTGCAGTCCTTCAACTTCTCAACTTCCATTGAATAGCTGATACTCCACCGGATCATTCAGTCAACAACATGTCTTCAATCAACAATTGTTTGTAAGCATATATTTTGTAATAACCATAT